GTTCTTAAACAATTTACAGCCTCTTTGTGAGTGATTTACAGAACTGTTAAGGTTGAGCTGAAAGTTTTTGTTTGCAGCTATTGAACTAGTGCAGTTTTGAAGYTGTTGCTGTTTTGATTCATTGGTCAAGGCACAAGATAATTGTGATTCATATGATTCTCTTRTTCTTGTGAGGTTGAATAATTGTGATTGACAGTGTGGCTGGAAAGTATCAGGTGCTTGTGCAACAACTTCGTGATTCTTCAATCCCAAGATCTGTTCACATCTCTTGGCAGCAGCTAGCTCTTGTTCTGCATATAGAAGCTGATCAAAATTTCATCCTATCAGCTAAGGAGAGGTTTATACAAGAAATTGGAGGCAAGGCTCAGAAATCACTAGCATATGTTGAAGATTGATCAAACGAGCAGTAGTTACCTGGTTGTTTTGTTTTTGTACTGTTTATGTACTGGTTTTGTAATTCAATCATAGGGTCTTGTTGATTTACTGTTTTTATACTGGTTGATTGTTGTAAGGTACTGGAAACAGCTGAGAATAGTGATTTAGACAGCATTGATTCTGGTTTTTGAGGTTTATTTGTGATTTGTCCGATTCAACATTTGAGAATAGTGATTTAGGTTGTTTGTTGAACAATATTTGAGACTGTTTAGAGTCCAGTTTAGAGATTGTTTAATGAGATTGTTAGACTAGTTTGGTGAGTGATTTATCTTACCTTTGAGAGATTTACTTGTTTGTGCAGAGACTGCTGTAAGAAGAGGAGTACTGGAATTGGATTCTTTGATTTGGATTTGGATTTGAATTGACGGGGGCAGGCAATTTGATWGAAGCTGAGAATTTGGTTTTATCAGTATTTTGTTGTGTTTTGTCTTTGAGTTTTAATTTTTGTTTAGATTGTAATTTTTGGATCATTTCGTTTATCTGTTTTGTGTGTGWTTAAACTGTTTGAGAATCATTGAACTATTTTCCATCGCGTAAACTGTTTTTCATCAGTTTTAACTGTCTTTGATTGTTTTCAACAATTTTGACTGTTTTTACTGATATTTGACAGTTTTTCGTCGATTTTCTTATTTCTCAACAGTTTTTGTGTTTTATGTTTTTGTTTTTGAGCTTAACTGTTTATGATTTTTTGTCTGATTTCATTGCATAGATTCTATAACTGGTCAAATTTTTTTAATGGCAGATATTCTAAAGGAGATGAGAGCTCAAATTGTTGAGCTGGAAAAAAACATAGTGGATTATAAAGATAAATTCATAAAACAGTACTATGAGAATCACTCTAATCTGGAATGTATCAAAGATTTAAAGAAAGATCATAAAAAAGAATGTGAAAGAATCGAGAAGGAATTTGAGTATAAAATTGAAAAACTCGAGAACACTCTCAGCTCTGTAAGAAAAGATTATGATGA